GGCTAGAGTTGGAGAACCACTGCTCTGGCAGCACAGCTTCCCAACTGGTAAGGCCTAGTGAAGTCTGCAAATAGCTAGAACTCCTGGGCCAGTCACCCTTAGTTACTAGCAGCCTCCTCCTTTTCCCAGTGTGCTGTTCAGATCTTCCCATCTTAACTGTATTGAATTATTTTATATGTTAGGTAGGTATTTGTTAAATGCCTGAAATATTTATAATTTTTTAAAAAACTGAGCTACTAGGAAAGTATTCTCTGAATTTCTTATAGTGACTAAGCTTCAGGCAAAATGAGCTGTGTGGAAAAAAGCCAACTCAGTAACTAGTAGACTGAGGTGAAACAGGCACCCAAAATGATGCCCTTAGTTCACTACAGGCACTGTCAAGAATAAAACTTGTGTGCTAAGCCAATTCTGCCAGTAGAGGCATATGCTGTGAGTAGCTATCGTGAGGTTATGACTTAGTTCATATTCCATAATATTTTTTAGAGATAATAAGTTATGATTTTATGCTGAATATATGATTATGAGTTCTGACTTTATCTCTCTCTCACTTAGCTCTCACTCTGTCTGTGAAAGTCTTTCATATTAAATACATGACTGAGCATCCTTTTAAAATTTTTCCTATTTTGTGCCAGAATAGGATTTTGGTTGGGTTAATTTTTACTTGACATTTGTGGAATCATTCTGAGGTGAGGGATGGCAAAATATGCTGCCCAGTTGAAGGAACAGTGCAGAACATGAAACATTTAGTACAATGGTCCATGAAATGCCAGAGCAACTTTTCTTCCTTCCACTCACAAGGATGCTTTCCAAAATCTCTTTTTGATGTGGTGTCTGCAAAGGGAGGGCCCAGCTCTATGGCAAACCATTAAACGTATCTGCTCTGTGAATACAACTCCTTTAAAATGACCCCTAAAGAATGGCATAGGACACTAACGGTATAGAGCAGTTCTTGGCATGAAACCACCCAAAATGTTACACTCAGATCATCAATATGAGGAGTCAAGTGATGGTTCAAATGTAAAAGGGGGCAGTATAAAGCCTCCTTCCAGATGCTGGGAACTGTTCCAGGTCACAGAACTGCAGCAATACAATGACTATAGATGCATTTTCCAGAAAGGTAATAGATGCCAAAGCTTCCACTGTGTCATTTAGGACTTTACAAATCATGTCTCATTTCCAAGGTCACTAAGACTACACAAGTATTTTTAATATTTATCTCAAAACATTTCTTAAGCAGTGTTTTCTGGAAAGCTTTCTAACTATGATGAAAAGGAGGCAAAATTGACTGATGCTGTGACTAATTTCAGCACTTTTATTCTTGTTTATTAACAATCCTTCAGATGCAGTCAAAATTCCAAAATAATCAAGTATAGCCAAGTGAAAAGTGAGCTTCAGTAGCCTACGTCTAGATGAGTAGGTCTCAAACTTTAGCATGGATTAGAATTAACTGAATGATTTATTAAAAAATAAATTACCAGGCCCCACCTCTGAAGTTTCTGATTCTGCCAAGTCTGGACATTTCTAATAAGTTTCCAGGTGATGAAGATGCTGCTATCATTAGACCAGTTTGAGAACAACTGATCTGGATACTGAGACCCTAAGGAAGGTATTTATCCTCTCTAAACCTCAGTTTACTCCCTGTAAAAAGGGAGTATTCAGAAGATTTATCCGAATGTGTATAAAGAACTTAGTGTATAGTAAAAACGGGTGCTCTAGAAATGGTAACTGTTACTACAATAACTCAAATTCAACTTTAGAATTAAAAAAGTAAGCTAATTTGCCTATATATGGCCTACAAATTACACATATCCTCTTTCACCTACATATCCACCTCCCTCATTTCAGAGAAGATATCAGTTCACTTACAAAGGCTGTGATTACAAAATGAGAAAAAAGAAGCCATTATCTCAGAAGAAATACGCATCAAGGAGCCTAGGGGTTCTGAACAACCATTACGTGAACATTTCTCATAAAACTGTTTGTTTGCGCAGAGCTTGTTGTGTCTGTGTCTGAGGGGGGTCGGGTTGGTTAGGGAACCTTATCCCCTCACACTGAGTAGCAGCAGGGAACGAGGGATTACCACAATGGAACACATGATTTAAATCTTAAAAACTGCCTTTGAAATAATCCTGAACATCAGGATGAAAATGTCAAATTTACAGCGCCCTTTTCTTTCCATTGAACAGTGCTGAAGGGGAAGACAGGGAAGGAAAAGCTGAGATTGGCTGTGATTATTTCAGTCACGAAGCAGCATTTGCCCTTCAAAGTCTTCTCTTTACAAAGTCAACATCTCTTGGGCCCAGTCTTCAAATCAAGTAAAAGGTACCAGCTAGAGGAGAAAAGTGGGCAGAATTGGGGTGGGGACGAGGCAGAAATGGTATAGGCTTAATTTCCTCTTCACCTCCTGGGGTCAAAACTTGTTAGTGTCCTGTAAGCAGCTGGACAGTGGACTAAATGAGATTAGCATTGACCTTCTCCCCCCTCCCACGGACAGCCCCTAACAAATCAATAGCAGTATGTGACATGTGGACTCCACCAGGCACACAGTGCTGAATGGCATATTGTCTGCATCTCCAAGAAGTGCAGAAGTTTTTCTTTTGGTGTGAAATTTCCACACTAAGAAGTTAGTCTGGACAAAAGTTTCTGGCTTAGCATCTGAGCTTTGTAAACTTTCCATTTCTGATTTGAAATAAATAAGGCCCATTTTCTGGAAAGTTATCAACTTCGTATTTCATGATGATGATGATAAAAATATAAACGACAATAGAAGCTAACCTCTATTAAGCACTTATTATGTAGCAAATACTTTTCATTCATGTGAAAACAATCTCCATAACAACGTTATTAGTGAAATAGTATCACCATTCCTATTTTGTAGATGAGGAAACTGAGGCACAGAAAGCTTAGGTAACTTGCCTAAGGAAAGAACACTAACAGGTGGTAGAACCCATGACTCCAGAAGCCCATGACCCTAATCACTCCATAAGCCATAAAGCTTGCCAGAAAAAGGTTAGGGGCCATGAGTAGATGTGGTGAAATCAGACACACAGGGGAGTACTTGAAATCAGACACACAGGGGAGAATATCAATGAGACTATCTGGAAATTCAGGGATGTATGGGGAATTCAAAAATTCAGGTGGAGGCCAGGTGCAGTGGCTTACACCTATAATCCCAGCAATTTGGGAGGCCAAGGCAGGAGGATCATTTGAAGCCAGGAGTTTGAGACCAGTCTGGGTAACATAGTGAGACCCCATCTCTGCAAAATAACAAAAAATTAGCCAGGTGAGTTGACATACACCTGTAGTCCTACTCATTGATGAAGCTGAAGTGGGAGGATAGCTTGAGCCCAAGAGCTCCAGGTTGCAATGAGCTATGATCACGCTACTACATTCCAGCCTGGGTGACAGAGAATGAGATCCTGTCTCTTATTTTAAAAAAAAAAAAAAAGTGAGCCGGGCGCGGTGGCTCACGCCTGTAATCCTAGCACTCTGGGAGGCTGAGGCGGGAGGATTGCTCGAGGTCAGGAGTTCGAAACCAGCCTGAGCAAGAGCGAGACCGTCTCTACTATAAATGAAAGAAATTAATTGGCCAACTAATATACATATAAAAAATTAGCCGGGCATGGTGGCGCATGCCTGTAGTCCCAGCTAATCAGGAGGCTGAGGCAGCAGGATTGCTTGAGCCCAGGAGTTTGAGGTTGCTGTGAGCTAGGCTGACACCACGGCACTCACTCTAGCCTGGGCAACAAGCGAGACTCTGTCTCAATAAAAAAAAAAAAAAAAAAAGTGCAGGTGGCTCAGGGATGGTAGAGAAGACCCTTTGTGGGAGAAATAAGGACCTTTGAGATACAGGTTCCAAAATGACCCTGCTTCAGACATTGTGTGGTCTTAAGCAAGTATTTTAATTTCTCAGAATTTCAGTTCCCTAATGTGGAAAAATGGATTGATGTGAAGATTACGTTGCCTAAATTCTTCACAAAGTGCTATGACAATGTCAGCTCTTACTGTTTTATGGCATGTCAGCAATTTCTAGACAGGGTAGACAGGGGGAATCATGTAGGGGAAGAATCCCTGAGGGGAAGTCTGACAGAGGGAGGCAGAACCCACTCAGGACACTGAAAAATGCTACACAGAACACTGGCTCCTCCTCCCTACCAGGGGCATCTAGTTACTTCATTTCACTGTCAACAGTCATGCCTAGAGCTTGACTGTGCGCATCTCTACATTGTAATATTTTAATACAGGGCTTCAAAATACTATGGAATTTCATTCTGCATCCCCCATGCTAGAAAATTTTCCTGTAAGCCAAGGGAGATTTCAGCCACTCCATGAAGCACTGTGTAGATGCTTCTATATCTTAACATTTTCCAAAATGGTCTGATAGATGCATCAGTCCATACATCCATCCCCCCAACCGCCTGTCCAATGTTTATTGAGCACCTACAATGGTGCAGTCACTGCATTAAAGCTGGAGATAAAAGACAATCTCCTTTGACCAGTGCCTTTATCTCAGTCTCGGTCTAGCACTACAAAACGGGACGTGCAAAGCATTTGAGGAGTACAGGATGATGACCAAGCCTTATTCTCACTCTGGAACAAATCCCCAGGATTCTCTCCCACCCTCTTTTATGGTCTTCAAAGTTAGCTTCTCTTTGAATACTGATTTTCAAGGACTATTCCATATTTGAAGATTAATTTAGGAAAATCAACCTCTTGATAATATTAGATCTTCCTATTAAGGGATGGCTTTCTGTTAATTCAGTGCTTCTTTAAAACATGCTATTTTTTATTAAGTAAAATCTAGATTACTAGGTCACTATCTCATGGGTCCCTTTTAAATAAAGCATATAGGAAGCAAACAATGGATAATAATAAGATAAGAAAAGAAAACAAATCAAATCCTGAAAAGCAAAAATTTTCCCTATACCTTATCTCCCTTTCCAGAGCTTTCCATTCCAAATCCTATTCAATCGATCAATTAATATGTAAAGAATACTCACTCAGGGCTGTCTGGATATCCTTTTCCCCATTTTTCACTTCTGTCAAAAATCCCTTCAAAAATTTGAGACCTCTAAAACAAAAAAAAAAGAGGAAAAAATATTATTTTCAAAGTTTATTTATGTTGAATGAGTACCAAAAAATGGCAGACACCAGCTTCAATTTCAGTAATACCTTGGGCTCAGCAGTAAACAGGCCAAATTACATGGTAGTCCGTCCTCAGCTTCTCCCGTCACTTCCTTTTAGCTTGCTCTGGACCCTTCCCCAGCCCCTTCTGATATACCTAAAGCAGTGGTTTTCAAAATGTGGTCCCAAGACCAGTGGATCCAGCACATTGCTGGGAATTTGTTAGAAATGCAAATTCTGGTGCCATACCCCAGACTTCCTGAATCAGAAACTCTTATTTTTTAACAAGCTCTCCAAATGATTCTGATAACATCAAAGATGGACAGCGACTAATTTAAAGAAAAACCAGTTCACTTTACTGTCCTTTAATATTCCTATCTTATATATACTATTAATATTAACAACATTTATCACCATAAAGATGAAGGCAAAAAAAATAAATAAAGTTGGTGTTCTATTCATCAGGCCTTTTAGAAGAGGCTAAACAATTCAGTCAGATCCTTCATTAGGAATTAGTCTCCTTTACATAACAATTATTTTGGTGGTAACATGTCAATTAAGCTGGATTGTAACTGCTGCCCCACCCCATCAGCCTTACCTCTTCAGCCATAAGAGGGCTTCAGTAGCTGAGTTCCTAACCTGGGCCACATCTGCCTCTACTTCGTGCAGCACTATCTTCTGGAGAGTGGTAAACTCGTCCTTGTTGGTTATATACTTCTGATTTACTTTCTGGAGAAAAAGAAAGGAAAGAACCTAAGTTAAAAATGCTAAAGTTGGAGGAGGGCCAAGATGGCAGACTAGAAGCTGTCTGCACACAAGGCTCTCAAGGAGAGGATCGAAATTGCAAGTAGATATTCATCTTCACATGGATCATCTGAGAAAGAGCACTGGGAATCAATAGAGAGGTGACTGGAAGCACCCAAAATGAAGGAGAGGGAAGTGGGGCCACCCACTCAGCAGGATCAGAGGTATTCAGGGAAAGGGCCTGCATGGGGAGAAGGGACAGAGGAGAGAAACCTGTGGTGCCACAGTTCCCCTGCAGACATTCCACCTGGAACTGCGGGAGGGCCACTCCACTGAAGCAGGCCACTGGGAGCAGACTGGAGATTGTGCAATGGCATTGCTCTGGAGAGAAGGCACAGTGGGGTCCCACTGCTATGAACCCTAGGCACTGAGGTTGGCATTGTTTTGAGGTCCCAACCCCAGAACACTGTAGCTACCTGGGGGGCAGAGCCATTGCAGCCACCTCCCTGTATCCCGTCAGGCTGGGGAGGGAACAGGGAGGCTGGGTACTCTTGTGAGCCTTATGGGTGGATGCCATGCACCCCCGCCATGCCAGGGGACCTGGGAAGAGTAGGTGCCCAAGGACTCGATGCCTGCTGCCACTGCCTGGGCAGCCCCATCCAACCACAGTTGCTGCAGGAACTGGACAGAGAATGGGCCCAGAGCCTGGGCACCTGTCACTATAGTCTGAGTGGTGATGTCACCATGGATGGATTTGGGCAGGGCAAATGCTTGCTGCTGCATGCCAACCCCTGCCATAGCTGTGGATATGGGCAAGGGGAGTGCTCATGCCATGGGTACTGACCACCCATGACAACCCCATGAGAACAGGAAGATGCAGGAGAGTAACAGTATTAAAGGCTCACAATGTAGCCACCCCTCTCCTGCCTGGTCAATCTTCCACAGTAAGACTCAAGCAGTCCTTCCAGGGACCTCTCCCTCTCTTCACTAAGCAGAAAAGAACAGCTGTATTGCAAAGCTATCTATCTTGAGCCAAGAGAAGAGGTTTCAGATGAGAAGGAACCAGCATAAAAATTCTAGCAACATGAAAACAACAGGCTGTTTTGACACCCCCAAAGGATCATAATAGCTCTCTAGCAATGGACTCCAACCAAAATGAAATGGTTAAAGTGTCAAATATGGAAGTCAGAATAGGGATGGTAAGTAAAATCAATGGGATTAATAAGAAGGTTGAAAACCAACACAAAGAAACAAACAAAAAAATAACTTAGGACATGAATGAAAAATTCACTAAAGAGATAGATAGTGTAACGAAAAATATAACAGAATTTCTAGAAATGAGTCATTTAGGGAATGTGGAAATATAGTAGAAAAGTTTTAAAAAGAGACTAGACCAAGCAAAATTTCAAAACTTGGAGACAATGCTTTTGAACTAACCCATCAAATATACTGAAAAAAGAATCAAGCAGAATGAACAAAGTCTCCTAGAAATATGGGATTATGCAAAGTAAACAAATATAAGAATCATAGGTATCCCTGAGGGAGAAAAAAAATGACAAAGCAAAAAGCATGAAAAACACCTATTTGAGGGAATAATTGAGCAAAACGTTCCTGGTATTGCTAGAGATTTAGACATCCAGATACAAGCAGCTCAATAAACAACTGGGAGATTTATGGCAAATAGAATATCACCAAGGCACATAGTATCAGTCCGGCCAAAATCAAAGTAAAGGAGAAAATCCCACAAACTGTGAGATGAAAGCATTAACTAACTTACAAAAGAAAACTCAACAGACTAACAGCAGACTTCTCGGCAGAAACCTTACAAGCCAGAAGGGACTGGGGTCCCATTTTTACTCTTCTTAAGCAGAATAACTGCCAGCCAAGAATTTTTTATCCTGCAAAACCAAGTTTCACAAATAAAGGAGAAATAAAGTCTTTCCCAGACAAGCAAACACTAAGGGAATTTGTCACCAATGGACCTGCCCTACAAGATATGATTAAAAGAACTCTGTACATGGAACAGAACAATCAATACCCACCAGTGAAATAACACCTGAAAGTTAAAACTCACAGCTTTTATAAAACAGAAACACAAGGGAGAAAACAAAGCAACTAGGTAACAGTAAACATGATAAACAAACAAGTATCTCTCATGTCAGCACTATCACTTAACATAAATAATCATCGTGCTCCACTTAAAAGATATAGATTGGCTGAACGGGATTAAAAAAACACAATCCAAATATATGCTGTCTCTAAGAAACCCATTTAATTCCTAAAGATTCTCATAGACTCAAAATAAAGGGGTGGAGAAAATATTCCACACAAATGGAAACCAAAAGCAAGCAGGAGTAGCTATTCTTATATCAGATAAAATAGACTTTAAATCAACAATGGCTAAAGAAAGACAATCATTATGTTAAAAAATAATGATAAAGTGAACAATTCAACAAGAAGATATAACAATCCTAAATATATGTGGACTTAACCCAGGAGCTCCCAGGTACAAAAAACAAAGTCTGTCTACTAGATCTAAGCAAGGAAATAAACAGCAACTTCATAATAGCTGGAGACTTCAACAGTCTACTGACAGAACTGGACAGATCATTGAGGCAGAAAACCAACAAAGAAACACTGGACATAAATGGGATTCTAGAACAAATGGACTTAACAGACATTTTCAGGACATTCTACTCACAAACTGCAGAATATACATTCTTCTCATCAGCACATGGGACATTTTCTAAGAGAAATTATATGTTAGGCCACAAAACAAGTTTCAGTAAATTCAAAAAAATCAAAATCATACCATATATCTTCTCAGACCACAGTGGAATAAAACTAGAAATCAATTCCAAGGAGGAACTGCCCAACTACACAAAAATACTAAAACTAAACAACCTGCTGCTGAACAATCCTTGGGTCAACCAAAATGGAAATCAAAAGATTCTTCAAGTTGAATGAGAAAGATGACACAAGCTTCCAAAATCTCTGGGATACAACAAAAGCACTGCTAAGAGAGTTTATAGCCTTAAATCCCTACATCAAAAAGACAGAAAGATCACAAATTAACAGCTTAATGTCACACCTCAAGGAACTAGAAAAACACACTAAACCAAAGCTAGTAGAATAAAAGAAATAATAAAGATTAGAGCAGAACAAAAGAAAATGGAAACAAACAAAAAGTGCAAAGGATCAACAAAACAAAAAGTTAGTTCTTTGAAAAAGTAAACAAAATCCATAGAAGACTAACTAGATTAACTAGAAACAGAAAAGACTCAAATAAGCTCAATAAGAAATGAAAAAGGAAACACTACAACTGATTCCATAGAAATACAAAATATCATCTGTGACTACTATAAAAACCTCTACACAAACTAGAAAATCTAGAGAAAATGGATAAATTTTAGGAAATGCACAACTTCCCAACCGAAATGTGAAGCAAAATCAAAACAGTAATAAAAAATCTCCCAACAAAAAAAGCCCAGGGCCAGATGGATTCACAAATTCCATGAGACCTACAAAAAACTGGCACCTATCCTACTAAAACCATTTTATACATGGAAGAGGGGGGAATCCTCCCTAACTCATTCTATGTAGCCAGTATCATCTTGAGACCAAAGCCAGGACAGGATGCAAGAAAAAAAAAACTACAGACTAATATCCCTCGTGAACACAGATGCAAATCTTCAACAAAATACTAGAAAACTGAATCCAACAGCACATCAAAAAGATAATTCTCCATGATCAAGTAGATTTCATTCTAGGGATGCAAGGATGGTTCAATATACACAAATCAATAAATGTGATACACTACATAAACAGAATTAAAAACAAAAACCATACAATCACCTCAATAGATGCAGAAAAAGCATTCAATAAGATTCAGCACCACTTATGATAAAAACCCTCAACCAACTAGGCACAGAAGGAACACACTTCAAAATAATAAAAGCTATATATGAGCCAGGCACGCCTGTAATCCTAGCACTCTGGGAGACCGAACTGGGTAAATTGTTTGAGTTTAGGAGTTCGAAACCAGCATGAGTAAGAGTGAGATCCTGTCTCTCCTAAAAATAGAAAGAAATTAATTGGCTAAAAATTAATTAACTAAAAATATATAGAAAAAATTAGCCGGGCCATGGTGGCACATGCCTGTAGTCCCACCTATTCAAGAGGCTGAGGCAGTAGGATAGCTTGAGCCTAGGAGTTTGAGGTTGCTGTGAGCTAGGCTGATGCCATGGCACTCTAGCCAGGGCAACAGAGTGAGACTCTGTCTCAAAAAAAAAAAAAAAAAAAAAAAAGCTATATATGACAAACTCACAGCCAACATCATACAGAATGGGGAAAAATTAAAAGCAATCCCCCTAAGAACCAGAATAAGACAAGAATTCCCACTTTCACCACTTCTATCCAACATAGTACTTGAAGTGCTAGGCAGAGCAATCAGGCAAGAAATAAAGAAAGAAATAAAAGATAATCCAAATTGGGAAAGAAGAGGTCAAACTATCCTTATCTGCCATCAATATGATCTTACATCTAGGAAACCATAAAGACTCCACCAAAAGACTCCTAAAATTGATAAATAAATTCAGTAAAGTATCAGGTTACAAAACTAATATACACAAATTAGTAGCATTTTTATATACTAATAACAGTCAAACAGAGTCACATCAAGAACTCAATACCGGCCGGGCGCAGTGGCTCACGCCTGTAATCCTAGCACTCTGGGAGGCCGAGGCAGGCAGATTGCTTGAGGTCAGGAGTTCAAAACCAGCCTGAGCAAGAGCGAGACCCCATCTCTACTATAAATAGAAAGAAATTAATCGGCCAACTAATATATATAGAAAAAATTAGCTGGTCATGGTGGCACATGCCTGTAGTCCCAGCTACTTGGGAGGCTGAGGCAGGAGGATTGCTTGAGCTCAGGAGATTGAGGTTGCTGTGAGCTAGGCTGATGCCACAGCACTTACTCTAGCCTGGGCAACAAAGCGAGACTCTGTCTCAAAAAAAAAAAAAAAAAAAAAAAAAAACTCAATACCATCTATAATAGCTGCAAAGAAATAAAATACCTTGGAATATACTTAACCAAAGAGGTGAAAGATCTCTACAAAGACAACTACAAAACACTGATGAAAGAAATCATAGATGACACAAACAAATGGAAAAATAACCCATGCTCATGATTGAAACCATCAACATCGTTCAAAAGTCTATACTGCCCAACATGATTTACAGATTCAATGTGATTCCTGTTAAAATACCAATGTCATACAGATCTAGAAAAAAATAATCCTAAACTTCATATGCAACCAAAAAAGAGCCTGAATAGCTAAAACAATGCTAAGCAAAAAGTACAAATCTGGAGGCATCACATTACTTGATTTCAAATTATACTGTAAGGATATGGTAACCAAAACAGCATGGTAATGATATAAAGGTAAACATACAGACCAATGGAGCGGAATAGAGAATCCAGAAATAAAGTCATTTTCAACAAAGTAGACAAAAACATACACTGAATAAAGGACACCATATTCAATAAATGATGCTGGGAAACTGGATAGCCACATGTAGAAGAATGAAACTGGATTCCTATCTCTCACCATATATAAAAATTAACTCAAGATGGAATAAATTCTTACATGTAAGACCTGAAACCATAAAAGTTCTAGAAGAAAACATAGGAAAAACTTTTTTGGACATTGGCCTAGGCAAAGAATTTATGACTAAGACCCCAAAAGCAAATACAGCAACAACAAAAATAAATAAATGGTACTTAACTAAATGAAAAAGTTTCTGCATAGCAAAGGAAATAATCAACAGAGTAAACAACCTACTAAATGGGAGAAAATATTCCCAAAGTATACATTTAACAAAGGGCTAATATCCAGAATCTACAAAGAACTGAAACAAATCAGTAAGAAGAAAATCAAATAACCCCATCAAAAAGTGAGCAAAAGACATGAACAGATTTTTCTGAAAAGATAGACAAATGGCCATAAAACATATGAAAAAATTGTCAATATCACTAATCACCAGGGAAATGCAAAGTAAAACCACAATGAGATACTACCTCACCCCTCAGAATAATGGCCATCAGAATGGCCACTATTAAAAAGTCAAAAAACAATAGGTGTTGGCATGGATGCTGCCAAAGGGAATGCTTATACATTGTTGGTGGGAATGTAAACTAGCATAATCTCTAAAGAAAATAGTATGGAGATTCCTCAAAGAACTAAAAGTAGACCTACCATTCAATACAGTAATCCCACTACTCAGTATCTACCTAAAGGAAAAGAAGCCATTTTATTAAACAAAACAAAACAAAACAAAACAAAACAAAAACCTGTACTCAAATGTTTATTGCAACACAATTCACAATAGGAAAGATATGAAATCAGCCTAAGTATCCAGCAACAGATGAGTGGATAAAGAAAATGTGGCATATATATACCATGGAGTACTACTCAGTTATAAAAAAGAATGAAATAATCTTTTGCAGCAACTTGGATGGAACTGGAGATCATTATCCTAAGTATCTCAGGAATAGAAAAGCAAATACCACACGTTCTCACTTAGAAGTGGGAGCTAAATGAGTGGTATATATGGTCATAAACTGAGATATAATGCACATTGAAAACTAAGAAGGTGGGAGGATGGGAGATAGATGAGGGATAAAAATCCACCTATTGAGTACAAAGTACACTATTCTGGTGACAGATACACTGAAAGCCCTAACTTCAGAATGAATTATGTAATCCATTCACTTAAAAAAAAACAACACTTGTACTCTTAAATCTATTGAAATATTTAAAATGACAAAGTTATCAAGTAAATCAGTATAGTATTGAGACAAGTTTGGCAAGCAGGCCTCCAAGAAACCAAAATAATTTGCTTCTTTGTTTTCAAGGTAATGTGGTTTTATGTGTGAAAATTCTGAGGCTTCTGCTAATATTAAATAGTTTCAAGGTTTTAAAGTTTTGTTCTTAAAGTATTTTTTTCTGCCTCAGAACCTCTCTCATAGCTGTCTTTGGCAGATACTTTTCATTGTAAGTATAAAATCAATGATCATTTGTTCAAATGAGATATCATGTAACTATTCTATCCAAATAAAGATATATCTAAAATATATATCTTTTATATAAAGATATATCTATATATCTATAAGAATTCCTTGCACTGCTTCCTTAAAGAGGAGTATCCAATGACAAAGGAAACAGATTTTTATTGAGTACTATGAGCTCAAGTAGGTAATTCAATGTACATGTAAAAGGGACCCAAGGTTGACCACTGATAGCTATTTTCACTATCTAATATATCTTTTGGAAAAATGTAACTTTTCATTGTTAAAACTTTAAAAAGCACAAAATCAGTGTTAACATAAGAGTGAAACTCTACTGATACATGCTCTGGGCATGAAAAGGAAATCCTGGTTTCATCTGCAAAATTAATATTCCATTCTCCCACAAGCTTGCCACTAGCATGTATAATAATAAAGGCTTAGTAATTCCCTTACTGAGCTTTCAGAATGTAAGAAGAAAGATATTTGCTCTCTGAAAGAGCTGTGTGTGATACACCATTCACCTTTTAATTTACTCTTGTCAAACACAAAAATATAGAGAATGTTTTTCTTTATTTAAAGTTTCCACAGAGACAAGCCAGCATACTCACCTTAATATTTCCAACGAGATCCATCTTAACAGGAGCAAATACCGTAGGGCCAAGTTTGTCTAGAAGAAAGGAAAGGATCAAAACATTTTTAAAAAAGCAATGTTTTCAAGTGGAAAATATTTTTTATATCAACAATAAATTTAGCAGACCATTTCCCTAACATTTTAATTCTTGCTTCCAAAGCACTTATAAACATAAGCTTCAAAAGCTTCCCAGGATACTGTTATCACCTTGCTCTATTACACTACTCTGAGGTGAGGAACTATAATGAGATCCTAAGTGGCAAGTAAGATGAAAATTATCTTATAAATTTAGAATATATATTGTAATCCTTACAGCTGAATTGTCCAATATGGTAGCCACCAGATATGCAGCTATTTAGCATTTACAATGTGGCTAGTCCAAACTGAAATGTACTGCAAGTATAAAATACAGACAAGATTTTTTTTTTTTTTTTTTTTTTGAGACAGAGTCTCGCTTTGTTGCCCAGGCTAGAGTGAGTGCCGTGGCGTCAGCCTAGCTCACAGCAACCTCAAACTCCTGGGCTCGAGTGATCCTTCTGCCTCAGCCTCCCGAGTAGCTGGGACTACAGGCATGCGCCACCATGCCCGGCTAATTTTTTTTATATATATATCAGTTGGCCAATTAATTTCTTAATAAACAAAGCAGACACGAGGGCTCGCTCTTGCTCAGGCTGGTTTTGAACTCCTGACCTTGAGCAATCCACCCGCCTCGGCCTCCCAAGAGCTAGGATTACAGGCGTGAGCCATAGCGCCCGGCCTACAGACAAGATTTTGAAGACTTAGTACCAAAAAGAGAATATAAAATATCTCACTGATGATTTTTTATATGGATTTACATCTTGAGATGATATTTTGGCTATATTAGGTTAAATAAAATATATTAAAATTAATTGTAATGTGCCTATTGGAAAACTTGAAATTACATATGCAGTTCAAATAGTTCTGTTGGGCAAGAGCAGTAACTAAAAAATAAAACAAAGAGGTACAGCTAAAAAGCCAAAAGAGAAAACATAGTGGAATTCTAATCAAAAATACTTGACTGATCTAAAAGATAGCCAGGAACAAAGACAGGTAGCTAAAAAGCTAAAAGAGGAAATAAAAAAAACCCTAAAAAATAACTGATTAATTGGCTAAAAGTCAAGAAAGGAGTAAAAAAGGGAATAAGGAACAGGTAAGAAAAATAGAAAATAAGTAGTAAGATGATAATTCACTATCTTGCTATATGAATTTAATTTAATTCACATAGCAAGATAGTGAATTAAATTCACCCAAATAATGTATTCACTATGTTAATAAATTACAGAAAAAACATTATGATTTCAATAAACACAGAAAAAGCAATTTATAAAATGAACTCTTTCATGATTATAAAAACAACTCTCAGCATCAACTGTATCTACAGGCTTACAGGCTAATAATGAATGATTAGAAAATGAAATAAAACACTTTTTACAATAGCTTTAAAAACCGCAAAATTCTAATTAAGATCGCTACACTAAAAACTGTATAAAACATTGTTGAGAAAAAATAAAGATGACTTAAGGAGAGATATAACATGCTCATGAATTGGAAGACTCCATGTTTCATAAGATGTCAATTTTCTCCTAATTGGTTGACAGATAGAATGTTATCTTAACCAAAAACCAAAAGGCTTTTGAATAGAAATTAAAAAGCTAAAATTTACATGGACACGGAAAAGACCTAGAATTTCCAAAACAATCTTGAAAAAGAACAACACTGGAAGACTTACATTATCTGATTTCAAGCCTTATAGTAATTAAGGAACTGTGGTACTGGCATAAGAAAAACAGATCATTGGAACAGAAGAGAGAGTCCAGATAGAACCAACCACATTGTCAGGGTTGATTTTTTGAGGGATGTCCCTGTTCCTTGGCTCCTGGCTTGGAGGAATCACAAGCCAGGTGGGTGTGATGGAGTGATGACAGACAAGCAACTTACACAAGCAGCTTTTATTGCAGGCTTTTCAGCACAGAAATAGAAAGCAAAAGAACATAACTTCCAGGGGTTGCATGACAATTATAAACTGTCATAGGCACTGGTGGGTGTGATTTTTACAATGCTAATGTATGTTAATAGGGAAAAGGTTACCTTTGGATATGAGCTCCTAGTTTCTGCACATGCTCATGGCCAGGAAAAGTCCCTAATTGCAAATTCCTGCTCTTGTGGGTTAGCTTCTAAATGCTCATTGGCCTCTTCATTTTTGCCCCACCTTTTCCTGTGGTTAACTCTGCCCACCTACATCTGTCCCTAACACACATTGTAAGGCCAACTGATTTTCAACAAAGCTGCCAAAGCAATGTAAAAGGGGAAGAATGTTTTTTTGGCAAATGGTTCTTGAGCAACCAGACATCATGAGATAAAAAACAACAAAAACAACCACCTCAACCCCCTACCTCACACCACATACCCAAAATAATTCCATATGGATCATAAGCATATATGTAAATATTAGACGGGTCTTGAAGAAAACACAGGATAATATCTTCATGATCTTTGGGGTAAGAAAAGATTTTTTAGGACACTCAAAGCACTAACTATAGAAGAATAAGTTGAACTCCATCAGAATTAAAACCTTCTGCTTTTCAAAAGGCATCAATAAGAAAAGGAGGGAAGTCATAGTCTGGGAAAACTATTCACAGTGTGTATGTCTACAATAAAATTTTATTCAGAATACATAAAGAATGCTCATAACTCAAGAGTAAAAAGAAAACCAAATTCTATGAATAGGATAGACTTTAACAGACACTTTACAATGGAAAATATAGCAATGGTCAATAGTTACATGGGAAAGTGCTCAACATCATTAGTCATCTCAGAAATGTAAATTAAAGTCACAATGAAATACCACTAAACATGCATAGGAATAGCCAAAACCAAAAATACTGACATCAACAAATGCTAGTAAAGATGTGAAGCAACTATAATACGCATACTAGGAAGTAATTTGTGCAACTACTCTGTAAACTGTCTGGCAGTTGATTATAAAGTTAAACTATGGGCCAGGCGCGGTGGCTCACGCCTGTAATCCTAACACTCTGGGAGGCCGAGGTGGGCAGATTGCTCAAAGTCAGGAGTTCGAAACCACCCTGAGCAAGAGTGAGATCCCGTCTCCACTATAAATATAAAGAAATTAATTGGCAACTAATATATATAGAAAAAATTAGCCAGGCATGGTGGTGCATGCCTGTAGTCCCAGCTACTAGTGAGGCTAAGGCAGGAGGATTGCTGGAGCCCAGGAGTTTGAGGTTGCTTTGAGCGAGGCTGACGCCAGGGCACTCACTCTAGCCTGGGCAACAAAGTGAGACTCTGTCTCAAAAAAAAAGTTCAACTATGAACCAGCAATTCCAGTCCTAAGTATTTACTCAAAAGCTATGAAAACATATGTCCTCAGACATGAAAATGTTCAGAGTAACCTCATTTATAATAACCCCAAACTAGGAACTACCCAAATATCCATCAATAGAAGAATGAATTAAAAAACTGTGGTATATTCATTTAATGAAATACTACTTAGTCACAAAAAGGAACGAACTACTCACAACTGCAACAAGGATGAATAATCTCAAAAACATACTGTGTGAGAAAAGCCAGGTACAAAAAGAGTATATGATACAATTCCATTTATTTTAAGTTTGAGAATAGGGAAAATCAACCTATTGTGACAAAAATCAACATATTAGTTGCCTTAAACTGAGTGGTAGGTTGGGAACCAACTGACACAAGAAATGTTCTAGGGTGATGAAAACATACTATGTCTTGATAGGGATGTGGGTTACAAAGGTAGGCGCATTTGTCAAAACTTATTGAATTGTAACACTTAATTCCTATGCAAGTTATACCTCAATTTACAAAAAAGATGCATAAGTGGGTCATACAATAAATTTCCACATATTAGCAATTCCTGGTAATACTAATAGAAATAAATTTCACCTAAATAAATTTATATATATAATATTTTTTGTAAATCTTTGAAAAACATTTTAGCTCATAAAATTTTTTTTTCATACCAATAGATTTGAAGGTCTCCTCCTCAACTATTAATACTTCTTCTTCTGCTTTTATGTATGGTTTCTAGATAGGAGAACCCCCTTTTTTCATTACATTACTCTGAGGTCAATATTTAATAATAATTAGAAAAGACATGGAAATACACAATAATGCTTAGAGTCATACAGTTTTAACTATATGTGGCTAGTGATAAGAATAGGTAGCTAAGAAGATCTCACTGTACAATAGTTCAGGATATTTCTCCCACAAAATTAACTACAGTGAGAGATTTTAGAGACTCATGAATATAAGGCAACTGCCACAATCTTACCTAATACTGGAACCACAGCATAACATGATGCCAAGAATGCTTCTGTGGGAATGCCACTGTCTTCCAGAAGTTCAATGTCACTAAAGCTAAACAATTTGGTGATATGGAGGAAGAAAGATTGAAAATACAACATCAGCACTCTGTAGTTCAGAAGTAGTCATGGAAACAACAGCTCTTCCATAGGGCAAATCATTTGACTTGATTTCACAGATATGCACCAGTGGTTGTTTTTCTATCATAATATGGTTATCATTTTCCAAAGATAATCTACCCAAGCAAGCTAAAATTTGTTCTTCCTCTTCATCCACTGTTTAGACAAGGTATACAGTAAAGTAGGCACTTGGTATACAATTTATTTTCTATTGTCTTAGAATACATCATCACCTGAAAGGAATACCACAACTGATTTTCCAGAAGGCAAGCTAGTAATCAACTACCAGTGATTTGAGAAGGCCTTGAATACCTGGTGTTCATGGTACTAAAGAAAGTTGGGATAACTTCTTTGCCTTCTTCCCAGTGAGATTCTGGAGAGCAACTTGAGGAGTCTGATCCAGGCTGTGCCAACTTGCTGTCATGATTTCTCAGGTTTTCTTCTCCATCTTCCTTCACTATTTCACTTTGGACTGCAAAACAGAAGGTATCTATTATTAACCTATTATATATTTATTATAAAAATTAACACATCCTCATTGTTGAAAATTTCTAAAGCATAGAAAAGAACACAGAAATTAAAATTGGTGAAATACTATACACATGTACATACATGCATAAACACACACAGACAAAATCAGGCTTAAAGTATATGTAGATCTGTATCCTGCTTGTTTTTTATTGAACCAGTGTATTAAGAATATTTTCATTTACCAATCAAAACTCTTCAAAACCATGATTTTAATGACCATGTAATACTGCATCATGCTCATGTGGAGGGCATTTAGGTGGTTTCCAAAATTTTACTATTATACAGTTGATCCTCATTATTAGCATATTCTGTATGTATTTGTGAATTTGTCTACTTCCTAAATTTTATTTGTAGCTCCCAAATCAATTCTTGTGGCACTCTGGCAGTCATTTGTGGACAGGTAAAAGAGTGACGAAAAACGTGTAACCTGACACACATTCCTAGCTGAGGTGGAATAAGGTAATGTTCTACCTTCTTGTTTCAGCTCTTATCCTACAAACAAATGTCTTTACCTAGTGCCATGTTTTTGGCGTATTGTGTATTTTCTTGGTGATTATATTGTTTAAAAGGGCCCCCAAGTGTAGTGCTATCTAGCATTCCTAAGCATAAGAAGGCTGCGATAAAGGAGGCTCATAGCCAAAAATATTTATAAGGGTGTTAGATGAACACCATTCAGGCTTGAGTTATTGTGGTGTTGGCTATAAGTTCAATGAATCAACAAAATGTATCAACATTAAATAAGGTGTCTTTAAACAGAAACACATAAAACAAGGTTATGTTTTGACAGGTGGACAAAAATATTGTGACCAGAGGCTTGCAGGAACCTAACCTTGTATTTCCCCCGGGCAATAGTTCAGAATTTGCTAATTCACTGTTTGTGGTGACTCAAAACATAGCTACTGCAAATAATGAGAATCAACTATAATGCTGTAAAGAAAATCCCTGTCTATAGTTCTTTGTCCTTAAATCTGACTATTCCCTAAAGACAAATTCCTAAAAGTAAAATTATTGAGGCAAAAAAAATGAGAGTATCGTGTTGATAGAAATTCTCCTGTCTCAGGAGAATATGATTGTCTTTGACAGAGCTGCAGAGAGTCTAAGTGATTAGCACCAATGGAATTAGCAAATTCCAACTACAAACGTACAACCTGAAATGTGGGACTTTGGCTTGATGAACACAGAGAAGGCTGGGTAAAAACCTGACAGGGGAAGGCCGGGCGCTGTGGCTCACGCCTGTAATCCTAGCTCTTGGGAGGCCGAGGCGGGTGGATTGCTCAAGGTCAGGAGTTCAAAACCAGCCTGAGCAAGAGCGAGACCCCGTCTCTACTACAAATAGAAAGAAATTAATTGGCCAACTGATATATATATAAAAAAAAAAATTAGCCGGGCATGGTGGCGCATGCCTGTAGTCCCAGCTACCCGGGAGGCTGAGGCAGAAGGATCACTCGAGCCCAGGAGTTTGAGGTTGCTGTGAGCTAGGCTGATGCCACGGCACTCACTCTAGCCTGGGCAACAAAGCGAGACTCTGTCTCAAAAAAAAAAAAAAAACCTGACAGGGGTTGGTGAATTCTGACATCCTTAGGTCAACTAGAAACTGGGAGAATGAAAAACTCAATTTTACACACTGTTTAGTCGACATCATAGTCTGTGTTCAAAAAACTTTCAGATACACCAGTGAAGTTCTCATACCCTCTAAAAAGTCTGCAGCCCATGAACATCGCAGCCAAAGACAGTGAGCAGGAAACTTCCTCTTCATTCTGCCTTCTCAATACCAGGTTAGATGAGATTAGAGAATGTTTTTCAGTCACCTGACCTATCTCATTAAGCCACATCCTCCTTAGGAGATACCTAGGTATACTATCTTGAGGTTAATCCCTAGCAAGTGTCACAATCATGAATATAAGTCAAATATCCAAATTTCCTATTGTTCAATGGTTTGCTTCAGACTTTATTTTTGTTTTTACCTGTTATATTATCATCTGTATTTTCTTCACTTGATATGCTACAGTCTATCTCTGCAGATTTCAAATATAAGGAGCTCTTGTTTTTCATTACGATTTCTTCATAATCATTTATTTCCATATTTAAAGATCCATTTTCACAACTGTTCAAATCCATTTGCCTGCAGTTTTTTTAAAGTAAAAAAAGCCAGAAAGTTCAGTTATTTGGTCACAAATAGACTGCTCGAGCAGATATTATTCTGAGTGATAGGGGAAGGGTTCACAATCACCAACTCCTTTTAACATCAATTAAAAACTGGAATTGTTAAACCAAGCCAAACCTCTCAGCTGCTGCCTCCAAGGCAGGCATCTGCTTATGATGGGAGTAGGCCAACCTCAGGCTGCAGTTTAGAAATAAATGAGCCATTAATGGCTCTTGTAGCACCTTTAGCTGTCCAAATCTTCCTGCTCCCGAACCAGCATCAGGAAATAGTCATTGACAGCTCTTTGGTTTTCTATTAGCTTTCTCCAGATGCCACATTAACACTTTCTGGACTTTCCTCAACTTTTCCCTGGGACACCTTTTCTCTCTTTACACGACTGGCCACTATGTGTTTAATCAGCAGTTAACCGTCTAGAAGCCACAGGCTATAGTCAGGGGAGAGTACTCGTATGTTGGAGAGAAAAAAAACCCAGAAGGATTGCAACACATCCTGAGTGAACTGTTAGCACTTAAGGATAACAGAAAAAGCGAATAAACATGCTAGTGGAACAACTGATTCTATTTGTTAAAGGGACAATCATAGTATCTTATTATAGGTGATTATACCTAGCCAAATTAGAACAAAAATATTTTGTTCTAATAAAAATAAGCAGGAAGGGCCCAAGCTACATGGTGACTCCAGGAAAAGCATTTGCTATTTTCTTAAAAAAAATACCAGATTTCAAGCTGGTAATTTGAAAAATAGAGGCATATAGAGGCAATGCTTCAAAAAAGAAAATATTTAGAAAGATGTTCCTAATAGAAATATTTTGAACGGAAGAAAATTAGAAATAACCAAATAAAGAACAACCTTAATGACAAAGAAGCAAACAATAACTATATAAAGAGACAAATTATAATAAATAATAATTTGAAAGGACAAATACATGGACTATGTCAATATATGGGAATGCCTATAAGAAATAACTGAATAAAGACCCCATTGACTATGTAAATGTGTACCTTTTTTTTTTAATTGATGGAGCATTTAGAGAAATAGAAATAGCTTAGATTTTTATATTAAGTTCTTTTTCAACCTGTAAAGCTACCTAAGATTTTTATTTTTAAACAAAATAGCAGTACTGTCTTTTCTGGATAAAAGCACATTTAAATCAGTACCCAGCTCCTGTACAGAGAACTTCCAACCTTCAGTACACTCTAGAGAGATTAAAAGTTACTAGACGTGGCATCCTAGGGAAAATGCAAACGTCTTCTCTATTAGTGCTGAATGGAAGGTCTGTGTTGCTTCAGGCTGACCCAAAACAGGAAAATCAGGTATTGTTTACTTCCGGTATCATCTTAAATCATGAGGAAAAACACCATATGATCAAACTATAATTTTTTAAAAAACAAAGAATAACAATATACTCTTTTTTTAGAAAGAAGAAAAAACATAAAGATTACTATACCTTTCCAATGAATTATGAATTGGTATGATAGGATGTTTCATCTTTAAAAGAAGGAAAGAAATGAAAGTTTACATGTTAGACTTCCAACAAAACATATTTAGGATTTTATCGCGTATGAAAGTGGTAAATATGACCATAACATACACTGCCTCACTCAACAGAAACAATTTTAGGTCCTCCCATAAGGTAGTCATTGATTCCGACTAACCCTTCTTACTTATTCAAATCAGGGTACTCAAATTTCTAAGGAAAAGGAAGACGGTCTTTTGAAGGTTCAAATTATCATAGCCAAACTCTTCATGATTGGCTTTCTTTGTAATTTCAGTTATGCTCATTAAACATTAATAAATAGCAAACTATGACACAGCATTGTATCAAACACTAGAGGTATAAAGGTAATCACTATGGGGTTTCTCCTCTTAAGATAATTTCAATATAGAACAAGGTTAAAAATAGGGGTATGTATTAAGAGAAGAAACTCTTAGCTCAGCATAAAGATTCAGAGAAGAGACTAAGTCTTGGAGGATGAATAAAATCTAACCTGGAAAGAGAGGTGAGAAGGGCATTCTTGGCACTGGAAAATGGCATGAAGGTGTGGGGAAAACTAAACGCAATTAATATGTTCAAGCGAGGTAATGACAAGGAAAGAGGCTGGAGATATAGGAAAAGGCTAAGAATTTTTTACTTTAATCTGTAGGCAAGGAAGGAGCCACTGAAAGCTTAGGTAAAGTGGTTCAATTTATACTGCTTCAACAGAAATATTGTCACTCGCTGGAAGGGTCACGCTGAAGGTAACTAGTTAGAAGGCTGGCATAGTTTAGGCAAGACTCAGTGGGCAAGGAAGTTGGAAAGAAGAGGCTACATCAGAGACATGTTTAAGTGGTAAAATTGCCACAAATAACTGACTGGATAGGGGAGTATACTGAGAGTAGATATAAAAGTGAACATCAAGCAAAGTCCACTAAAAAAAAAGTCTTAATCAGTCATGTCACCAAAGAATAATGGAGAATATGGCTCAGTATAAACTTTTAAACTGTAGCCAAACTGAGATGGACTTTTACCTTGTTGGACTTGAGCACGGCCAGCTGTGGTGATCCTGGGGGAGTACGGTAGAGCAGCTCAGAGGTGAAGGCAGCGTTTGCGATCTGCATGCATTCTTCCAAGGTCTTCAGAAAAGTATTGCAGGTTGATTTCAGCAGAGTTCCCACATCAATTCCCTCCTACGAAACAACCAGAGTGGAAGACTCCTTTACCTTGCCAAAAAAGAAAAAGCCCAATTGTGGAATGTCCTTAGAGGTTTTTATCCACAAAATAATAATAATGTACCCACCTATTTTGCTGGACAAATATGTACATCAGTTATAAGAAAAAAGCCCAATTTATCTATTAACCAATGTAACCATTACCACTATTAACCAGTAGCACTCTCTCAGTTGTGACAACCAAAAGTGTCTCCAGATGTTGCCAAATGTCTCCTGGGGGGCACAATTGCCCTGGGTTGAAAATTACTGCTCTAGACTATAAACATCTCAAGAGTAGGACTAAAATGTTTTTTTAGTACCTTTCTTCTTCTCCCCTCCCCATTGCAGCACAATGTCTTACACACAATAGACAGCTGTTGAATGAATAAGAGAGCTCAAAGGAAGTGAATGAAAGTGAACTAAATCATCTTTATTAGAAAAACTCAAAGCACTTATACTACTAGTAGCACAGTGTGGCAGGCAATGTCTTATTAGACTGTAACTTCTTTGAGAGCAGAGCAGAGACCTTCTCTGGTTAATGTGAGCCATTTCATACATAGCTTAATGTCAGAGGAATCCTTTAATGTATATTTTAAGATGAGTGAATGACAACTTTTTAAATAAATGTTAATAATCACAATCCTTGCTGACAATGAAGAGAAAAAAAGCTTTCTCCATTTTGAAAACGCTAGTCCATTCCAAACCACAATTACTATAGTGAAATAAAATCCTGTTGGTCTCATCAAAGGAGACAGACATATATCATTAATAGACCTATGCTGGCATCTTGGTAGCCACACCTATAAATTATGGCTCTGCAAAACAGGTAAGATTGTAATTTAAAAAGCAATGTAGGCCGGGCGCTGTGGCTCACGCCTGTAATCCTAGCTCTTGGGAGGCCGAGGCGGGCGGATTGCTCAAGGTCAGGAGTTCAAAACCAGCCTGAGCAAGAGCGAGACCCCGTCTCTACTACAAATAGAAAGAAATTAATTGGCCAACTGATATATATATAAAAAAAAAAATTAGTTGGGCATGGTGGCGCATGCCTGTAATCCCAGCTACTCGGGAGGCTGCGGCAGGAGGATTGCTTGAGCCCAGGAGTTTGAGGTTGCTGTGAGCTAGGCTGATGCCAGGGCACTCACTCTAGCCTGGGCAACAAAGTGAGACTCTGTCTTAAAAAAAAAAAACACCAATGAAGGGTCATTTTACTGGGTCTACTTGAGGAGTTAACCACACCTGTTACGAGGGGCATTCCCTGGAACACTTTTTCTCATTATACCACTACCCTGAATCTCTTCAGGTGTACACATGGGCCTACCAGGCTGGGAAGGCAGTAACGAGGGCCCAGGCAGTTAGCCCTGGCACTCGTGTCCCAGTCCGTAGAGAAAGTTGTGCCATGGCTCTCAGTAGACTTTAATGATGTTGTGCTAATGAGCATTAGGCAGCAGCAACTTGACAATTAAGTATCCATTCCACTCCAGAGAAAGTGAGGAGAGAGCAAGGTATTACTATAGAAAACACCTTGACCCAAGGCTTCTCTGGATTAACTGTTCTTCACCAAAGGTCAACTCTGTACCAGACTGAGTACTAGACTGTTTCATATCACTAATCCTCATAGTAATCCTCCTAATGTAGGTACTATTATCTCTATTTAATAGAAGAGAAAATAGGCTAAGAGAGATTAAGTGACCTATGCCAAGGTTACACAGTAAACTGCAAAGCCAGTTGTGTCTGGCTCCAAAGCCTACATACTTTCCACTATGATATGTCCAGAAAAGAGAGTTAGATATAAATCTAGATTTAAGTTCTACTAACATGCATAGCATTACATGATACAAAAAGCTGGCTGGCTGGGTGGTCAGGGGACAGATAACAAATAAGGGAACTCAGAGATGACAGTGGGTGATTCCCAAAGTTTTCAGACCAGAGAACCACCAATACTTGCCTTTCTCCTTCTGGGTCCTACTGTCTGTCAGGCAAGCTTTGGCTGACCCCAGGGCCACCAACCACCGCTGTCTCTCAGCCACACTTCTGGCTTTCAGGTAGAAATACTGCTCCCCAGGGATTATCAGGTCCATGCGTGTGTTATCTACAGAATGAACTGGGAGCAAGACAGAGGGGAGTCAAAGACCTAGAAGAACCCTCTCTGGGTAGCCTCCACCCTACCCAACCTCTTGAGCTCAACTGGTGCATATCACTGAAGGCTACTTTGGAGAGAGGATGCTAGTCCTCACTACCTTTCCTAATTCATACAAAATTTTGTGTATATATCTTTTCCTAGACACCTGTGCTTATCAAGAGGGAAAACCTTGCTCTGGCTCCAAGGTGTCATTAAGACTTTGGCCCCCAAAAAGAATCACCCAATTTAACTTTTGGGTTAAATTGATCTCTTAACAGAATCGAGAAGAATTTCTATTTTGGCGTGTGTGTGTGTGTGTGTGTGTGTGTAGTATGCTGCTCCGAGGCCAAAAAGGCTTACATGCCAACAAAGGTATGTTCTTTATCTCCTTGGATTTACTGGGAAGCAATCAAGAACAAATATTTTCCCTCTTCTACTTCCCTTGACAAGTCAGTCAGACAAACAGTGTGAGAATTCCCTCAGAGCCCTTTAAGAAACAAGCAAACCACACTCTCCTTCACTGACGCCCACCCCCCAAATTCCCATTAATCTATTTTACTTCTGAGCCACACCTTTTCGGCATGTGTTTACTTCCAAAATAAGAAGTAAAGACTATTTGTAAGTCTATTAGGCTTTTGCTTGTTTTGAGTGGGGGTGGGAGATTGGTGTGTATCTGTGTGTCCTGTATGTGTGTTTGATGCTGCAGTAAAAAGACTTAAGCTTTGCAAATAACCACTGGTCCCTGAAGAGCAGATGACTAAAGAATAAGCATTAGCTGAGTGGTGAAGCACACTGCTCTCATTTATTCAGACCACCTCTTAACCAATCACCTTGTAAAAGTCAGCAGCAGTTTCAGCTTGTATTTGCACGGTTTTGGTGAGGGGAGCGTAACACTATGTACCTCAGTCTATACTACGGGAGCAGCAGAGAATGGCATACAGGGCCAGTGCTTTTTTTATTTCTGCAGGGAGACAGAAAGTAAAATAAAACCTGCAAGTCTCTTGGATTCTCACCTTGAATTTCACAGACCGCCATTTGAATGCTCCCTTTGCAACCTTTCCAGGCATCTTCAGGAGAATCATAATAGGATAATATTCCTCCACACAGAAGGAACCATCGAGGCTGCCAACCTGAAAACAGAACCAAGAGTATCATCACAATTACCACCTGCATGTGAGGTGTCTCCCAGGACACAGAAATAGGCACTAATATAGAATACTTGGTCCCAGCTCCAAGGAACTTTACATTGCAAGGGAAATTCTACAAGAAAAAAAGTAGGTTAGAAGAGACCTGTATGTTTGATCCCATTTTTGTAAAAATTAAAAACAAACACCCACGAGGCATATATTTTTAGTCACATAGTTATATAGTAGAAGAAGTCTGGAAGGATCGGCAACAAGTATGATGATGATTCTCTAATAGAATTTACAGAAATATTTAAAAAGATATTTTATTATCTTTTTTCCCCTAATACAGTACCAGTAATCTATAATTTTTTTCTAAGACAAATAATTATTGTCTCCTGAATATTACTGTCATCACATACTCATTTTTTCTCTTCTGATTAAGAAAAATTATCCAAAACTTAGAAATGAGGCGATAAAGATTTCCATGCCCTTTCAATGATCATGATACAGAATGCTGACTAATAAGCCTGCCTACAGTCATATGACCCATAGGAAAAGCTAACTCTGACTATTTAGTAATGAGCCACTAAAGTGGAGGAATCTTAAAACATTCAATGAGGCTTAGCCACGTTCAATACTAGAGAATTACAGGGGGCAAAACATATATATATAACATCTCACCTAGTCCTCCCACATACCCTATATTCTAGTAAATACAGAAGAGCCAAACTTACTTGCTGTATTTCTGCCTCTGAACTTTTGCTTGAACTAGATTTTCTCCATAAAATGTCATCCCTTGACTAGCTCTGCATAAGCCTTGTCAGGTCTCCTTAGTCAGATGTAGTTTTTGTCCTTTCTCTGAAATGCCATAGCCCTTTAGGGATACATTTCTCTTATGTGACTCTTGCATTGGTTGAGGCAGCCAGAAAGAAGGCAGAGCCCCAAGAGGCTGCTCAGGTATAGACATCTGATGGGCCCTTGAGGTTTGATTCTTACAAACCAAGTGGGTAAGACACCAATCAATGTTAAAGTGACATTGATTTATTTCATTATAACAGGAGATTACTGCACTTCCCAGAGCACCCCCAGCCCAAGATTATGGCAGGTAAACTACATTTGTAATCAGAAGGCAGAATGGTCAACACTAAATCTAAGTGAAGGAGTTAGCTGGACAGGCAAGATATTTCACTGATCATTGACTTCATCAGGGTCTGCTGTTCTAGAAGGCAGAATACTCAGGCCTGCCAGGTACTATTGTCACTCACTTCCTTAAATAAAACTGGATAAACACTAATTTTCGACATCTACTCTCCAATAATATTTGAACTGAAATATCCTGCCATACAACCCCTTCTCACAAAAAATAAGTAATCTTTTCTAAAACTATGGCTGTTGCTCCTCTTGTTACATTTCATATTGAAGATTTCCTTCCCAGGCACCTAGACTGTTTTTTGCATGTCAGAAGCCCTATGGCCTTTCTCCATGTGGGCACAAGTCAATTCTTGGCTGGGCAAACTTCCTGGGATGAATTTGTAAATTTTTATTTCAGAAAGTGATGCTGCCAGATCTTAGCTTCTAATTCTACAGAAACTCAAACTTGAAGGCCACTATTCTTGGCACAAACAATACAATCTGGGAAACCAAAGCAATCATTGGACTATGTCTTACTAAACAGAGAATCAGTGCTCCTGGAATCAAACATTATTGGTGATGTTTCAGCCATTTGTAAGAGA